TAAATATTACCCTAAAGGAGAGGTATTCATCAAAAAGGGAAAAAAAAAAGGGAAAAGGGAAGAAGAGAAGAAAAAGAGGGGGAAAGTGGGAAAAGGAAAAAGGAGGAGGGGAGGAAAAAAGAAAACAATAAAAGGAATGGAACAACCCAGCTGTAGATGGCAGCAAATCAATATTCACCCCTCTGTACACAGACACTGAGAACATCAATTATCCTCAGACAGACTGTGTGTTTTCAGTAGATTTTGTTATTATTTCCACTTTGTCACACAGACTAGACCGAAGTTGACTGTCCAAAGTCACTGGGAATCAACATTACCCACAATTCTGAAGATCCTGCTCTCATTTCAAGAACTAAGTCAAGCAGCCAAATTATTTTATTTTTTTTACCCTTAATTTAATTATCTTTTGCTGTAGAGTCTGGATATTTCAATAGAATACTCCAGAAACACTGGAAACAAAGAATTTAAGAGTTTTGCACCTTGAAAAACTGAGCCCTTCCATAATAACTCTTAAATTCCTTTTGCTCCTTATGACTTGCAATTAAAATGAGGTTTTTTTTATAAAAAAAAGAAAAAGCTTGTGGATCTTAAAGATATGCATCACCTTGACACACAACATGAGGAATAAGACCATTCCTTGTGTAACAGAAGATTTTACAGGCATCTTTCTTTCTCTTTGGGACACTGCAGAACTCTGATGGGGCAGGATGGGGGTGACAGGGATGGCTGGGGTGACACTGATAGAAAACAGCTTTGATGTAGGCAGGTAAATGTCATTTATTTGAGATTAACCAAGGGCTCAGTCAGCAGGCTGCCCCCTCCACCCAGTCAGTGTTCAGGTATTATTTTGTTTTCTAGCACTTTCCCATATTCCATTTTCCAGAGCATCTCTGAGAATGTTTCTGTGCTTAGAGGTCCTCCCACACCCCTCTGTGACTCTGCCCACTGAACCTTTAATCTGCTTCACAGGATTTGGATGGGAATTTGGGCATTTAAAGGGAATCTTGACTTTCTCAATCTCACCAGTTGAGTTTATTTACAACCCACAAACTGCAAAAGGCAAAAACTCTGAGGAATCACCCATCTAATTTACCATTTTATCCATCAGGATAAAAAACCAGGGCCCACAGCAACAGGGCAAGCTCCTGTCTCTAAACCTGGCCTTTATGCAGGCACCTCACATCTGCCTGATTTTGCAGAGCTCAGGATCTCCCATTACAAAATCAGTTGCGTATTTCATTTCCCCTCCCAGGCTGGTCTTTTGTCTTGTGCCCAGTTTAATGACCCCTGGCTCAGCTGAGCCTGGTAATAACCCCACAGCTCAATTATTACCTGGTTTATGAGGCCAAATCCTAGAGAAAAGCAATGGAGAGTTACAGGTTAAACAGGCTTAAAAGAGGAAGTATTAGATAAGCTTTTCAATGTTTAAAACAGAAATAGGTAAGCAAAAAGTGGTTACTGAACTAAGAATCAAAACAAAAGCAAGGTTATCAACACTAGGAGCTATCTGCACTTCATGCTAAAAATTACTAACCTGTGCACCTGGAATTATTTAGAGACTCAAAAACCCAAGTTCTCAAAGGTGGTCATTCAAACATTCCATTATTCATACCAGAATTGGCATATGAGGACAGAATTAAGTAAAACAAGAATTTCACAGAGGTTAAAATACCCCAGAAATACCACAGTTGGTCATGACAGTTCAGGATTTGTCACTGTAAGAAAACAATATCTGATGCAGGCTGGCAATTCACATGATATATTTTGAGATGTCTTCCAAGTAACAGTCATGTAAAATTGATGTTTCAAGTAATCTCCTGACCAGTCTCAGCCTTCCACAGTAGCTGCTCGGGGGGAAACAAATTGAGACTGAAAATACACCAAAACATCTATGAGCAGCAGGTCTGACATGACCTCCAAAAAGGTGTGAGGAGGTAAAAAGTATTTTTTGCCATAACAGGTTAAGAACCCTTTCTGAAAGTTTCTGCACAAACACTGCTGAATTTTCTGTTCACATAAAGTTTCCAAACATGAGCTACTTCTTCCCAGAGTCATCTCCCAGTATGCCAAGACAGAAATAGTATTTTAACATTTTTAAATATCAAAAGCCCTAGGGTCATTCCTCCAAACATGAAAACATTGTATTGCTTTTGCAGCAATTTGATAATTTGCAAGGAAGGCAGAAATGACCCAAATAGACCTGTCATAATTTTTAAAGTAAAAAGAAACAGAAATATCCTCAGCTTCATTAGCCATTTTTTGAATCCTTTTCTGCTGCACAGGAGATAACTTTCAAGCCAAAATTATGGAAAGTCCAGAGGCAGCAATGAATAGGAAAGTCAAGGCAATCCACACTTGTCTCCTGATTTATGGTGGGACTGGCAAGGGCAGAGGAAAAGAGATGCTGGCACAGCCTAAACCAGGGCTGCACTGACAGGGATGCAAGCAGGATGAAAGACAAAATGGAAAGTACAATTCTGAAACAGATTGTTACATTTAACAATTCCATCTTTGTGGCTTTGTTTCTTCTTTTAATGCCAAGAAAGTTGTTACTTCATTGTGGAAATTTAAAATGAGCTGTACACTGGGTTATTTATTTATCTGACGAACATTCTGCATCCTGGCTTGTTTGCTGCCACAGAACTCTTTTGTTATGAAAAAGAGCACGTTGGCTGTTTTAGGAACTCAAATGTATCAGTTTGGAGATGCCAGTGGATCCCTGTGCATTCCCTGTCCACCTCAAGGATGTTTCCCTGGGGAGGTTTTTCCTGGGGAGGTTTCCAGACAAAGCTGCAGTTACTGATCCTGCCTTCTGATTTCCAACTGCCTCCCAAAACTGCTGAAGTTTTGAGAAATGTTCACAAACCTCCCTGCTTTTTGGGAGTGCAAAAAACAGCTGAAGGTGAACACACACTGCACAAGCTGTAAGTTTTGTGTAAGGAGGAAATCCAGTGCAGTTTTCCAGCAAGGATAGCTGGACACCCACATTACCACACCAAATCCCTTGCACAGGACAGACCTTCCACATCTGAGCTCCCTCCATGCCCCTGGGGGCAAAACTACATCTCAAGTTGGCTACAGCTGCCTATTCCTACAGTTCAGATGCTTTCTTCTAATTCTTTGATGCCATTTTCATTCTTTCTCTGTCACAGAAAGTAGAAGTTATCTTCAAAAAGCTGCAGAAGAGCACCAAGGCAGAGAAGGCAGTCAAAGAGAGAACCTAAAAAATTCAAGCAAGGTCATAAAGGAACGTGGTTTCACAGGGGTCCCAGAACAAAAGATGAGGATGTAGAACCTAGCAGAGATCCCCATTTTCTCAAATACTGGAGATGTTCAGAGTGTTGTTTTGAATGTAGCCGTGAATAAATAAAACTTGCGTATTCTGGAACACAATAGAGGCTACCAAATTGTATTTTGTGAAATAATATTTAAAACCTTCCCATGAAACAATTTAACTTCTGTATCCTCCTTACTGGAAAGGACTAACTGCATATCATTTCCTACTATATCTCTTAAAGTAATTACAAGAGGATCTGTTTGCCTCTGTACATTCCTCTCCCACTGAGTTATCAAGGTGCTCTCACAATGCAATTAAAAAGTGGAGTGTCTTGGGGGTTTTTGTTTGTTGCTCCCCTTCTGCTCCAGAGAAATAAAACTGGCTTAAAGAAATCCTCCTGAAATCTGTAACATGCCATCAGATGGGAACTGGCAGCTACAGTGACATTCTGAAGAATTTGTCATTTTGTTTACAGGAAAAAAAGGAAGGCAGCAGGAAACAAGTTAGGTTTTGTAGTATGAACTTAAGCTTCTAGCAAACAATTGAAAATCGTTAGAATTCCATGTATTTTCTGGATTCTGTACAATTTCCTATAATCTCCATGTTCTTTCACTTCTCTCCTTCCCTTCCCAATAGTTTGCAAAGGGAATCAACTCACCCTTTCACAGCTCCTGAACTCACTCTTCGAATTCTTTGACTCCTTTTAAAAAAAGTCCTGTTCCTTCAAAGCTGCAGCCCCCAAATTCTCTCTTCTTCAAAGAGCACTGATTTCTGCCCCACAAAGCCTCCTAAAGGCACCAGATGAACAACTCTGCCTCTTCCCCACGAGTCCCTCCTGCTCCCACCTTCCCTTTCCCCCTCTCTGGGTCAGCAGCCCTCCCTCTGCAGCCGCAGGAAGCAGAGCAGCATCTGCTGCTGGAGAAGCAGCACTAAAGGTTAGGAGAGCTGCCTGCTGCTCCCCTCCCAGGAAGAGCCTTGGAAGGAGTTGGTGCTGGCATATCAGTTATCTGGAACTGGCTTTGAAACGCTACAACATTCCTGGATGAACAGATTGCTGGCAATCAGCAGGGAAAAAAATACCCAAATCCACAAAACAAACAGAGGAGCCAGCCAGCCCTGAGCACTGCTCTGCTTTCAGCAGGGAACCAAGTGAGATTATCTGTGGGTTTGAGGTAACTGCAGTGAGGAGTTTAAACACTCCCAGCTTCTCACACGTAATATTCACCTTGCCCAGTTTGCCCACTGGTTTTACCCCACACCTTGTGCTCCTGCACATCCTCCCAGGGGAGTTTGGCTCAGCCCTGACCTTGTGTTTCCAGTGAAATCAACAGCGAAACTTAATTTGATTTTTGATGGAAAAATGAGCATCTTTGAAGTTATGGCCTTGATATAGATTTATTTAGGCAGCAAAATGTCACTTTCTACATCCAAGTGCTCCAAGAGTTTGGATTGGTGAAGAATTTTTTTTTTTTTACAATTCTCCAGGTTTTACATTATTATGTGATTTAGAGCAGGCCTGTTTGAAAACACCAATCCACATTTCAGTATTTACAGAACACAAAAGCTCCCTGATGATGAAAACACCAGAGATAAGCGGGTTTAGATAAGAACCTGGCAATACATACAAGAAAATTATAGAAATAAACCATTAAGAAGAAATCATCACTTCCACATGCCTAAGACCATCTACTACAGCAAGAGACTGGGATAGCTTTTCTCTTACCTCTGGAGTGTTTTTCTTGAACTCACGACTTTGCTCAATAAGTTTTTTCCTGGACTGCTCACTTTCATCTTGCCGGTTCGCCAATATTGTTGCTGTGGTATCGAGCTCTCTCTGTTAAGAAAAAGGAACATAAACAAACAAACAAACAAATTTAAATAAATAAAAAATACAGTCAGAGCTCTGTTTGTCACAGAAATAAAAAACCCTCCCAAAATCCTCATACATACATCATGTTGTTGGGAATACAGAGATGGAAGGGCTGGAGAGCAGCACAGAACAAGCACCAGGCTTCCAGAGATCTGACATCCTGAATAACAGCAAATGAAGCTCTACAACCTTTTGGATTCCCTCTTGCAACCAAAACATCACCATTTTTTCTCAAAACTATTCATGGCTCCACCCCAGCATTACACAGGACAGCAGCAATGGCACACAATACCCACCTCCTAATAAATTCCCAAGTTCAGTGAAGATTACAAATCTTGGACATATTCAAAATATTTTCACCTGCCTGCTTTTTAAAGATACTGGTTTTCCCTATTTTGAGTTATCCTATTATAAAAATCTATTAATTCAAATATTGGTTGACCTTATATTTGAATCTGGACTGGTTCACTTCAGTCACTCTTAATCTCCTATGACATGCTGTATATAATTCCATATTATATGCTCTTTTTAAGTCTTGCCTTATTTGAATACAAAATTATCTTTTCCTATTATTGGAAGCTATTCCTCCAAGGTTATTAGCAAGTATCTCCATTTCCTCTCCAGAACATATCTTTTTTTAAGCACCTGATGAATGTCAGAGTATCTTCCAACACTTTCTACTGAGCTGAAGCACAGGTCCCACTGTTTTCCAGCTTCTTCCAAGTGTGTTATCCCCATCCCAATTCCTCCACTCAGTGTTGTGCTTCCAAATGTCATCATAATAGACTGAATGGGTCATTTATCAGTGCATAAACCAACAATACTCAATCTTCTGTGTCAGTCTGTGCCTCTTCTGCTGTATTTTCCATGTAATATGAAAAAATAAAGGCAAACCCCTCCATTCAGCTACAGACATCATTCCCTGAGTCACTGAAAGAATCAAGAATTCATAAAAGAAACTTGGCACTCCTTTATCCTCTTATTAATTCAAAAAGAGAAAAACCTGGCTATGGGAAAAGTTCATGAGAAGTGAGAACAAAATGCTAGAGCAAGACTACTTTCACCTCATCCCTCTCCAACCTGCCTGCAAAACTCCCAATATTCTCCACCAGAAATTTGCCACATTTCTGGAATTTGTTCATAACTCAACCACCTGTAAGGGACCAAAAGCACAAACCTGGGACCTTACATCAAGTGTGATACCAGACCCCAAATAGGTGGTCAAGTTGCTGACTTGTTACTAGATACAAATACTACTATCTAAATATTCTGAAAAGCCTAATTCCTAACTTTAGATACATTTTTGAATGGGTAAATGTAAATTCTGGATGGATGGACATGTTATGTAACTCCACAGTTTGATCTCTGGATGGAAAATAAAAAACCTTTTGAGTTCCCAACTCAAGAGGACCAATAATATTTTCCCCCTGTAGGTTTATTACCATAAAATTATAATTTTTTAAAATAAATATATGGACAGTTATCCTAATCCTTGGAAACCAGCTGAATATGACAAATGGATTTGAAGCCAAGCAGCGTGCTGGAACCAGTGACCTAAATATTGTCACTGAAATGCTTAAAAATCCTTCTATATCTGACTTTGAGTAAAGAAACAGGGCAATATGTCCACCAGATCTTGGTTTGGAATTCTGAAACATATGTGAAATCTATTGCAGAAAAGTGGGAAATACTTAACAGTTGGATAAACCACATTTGAAATTCATCCCAGCTAAGTTTATGCAAGAAAAAAGAGCAACAGAAACCAATGTGGTTAAGCAGAACTATAAAGAGCAATATAACGGCTAAGCAGAAGGCTTTTAAAAAATATAAACAATCTGGTACGGCCAGAAACTTGGAAAACTATATTTAAAAAGGAAGCACACATTTAGAGCCAAGCAAAGAAAACACAGATCATGAAGTAAGAGGGAATTTCAGTGGAGCAAAGAGCCGAGTGCTTTGGTTTCCAATATCGAGTGCTAGCAAGGAACCTGACCGATGGAAAAGCGAGGCTTTTAAAGACCTGTGCTTCCAAGCTTAGAGACAAGAAAGAAAAGAACTGATTAAAAAATTATTAAATTCCATATTTTGTACTGCAATGAAAAGTCAGGTAGCAAATGACAAAGGACTTTCTCACCCTCACTGCCTGATTGATACCGGTGCCACAGCGCACTTACACCAGGCGCCTTCCCATTACTTTCTGAATTCCTTCTGGGGCAGGTCTGATAATTCCTCCCCACAAAACATTTCCTTCTGTGACATATCAGGCACAGACGTTGCCAAGGAGAACTGCCAGCACACCATTGCACTGAGCTGACTCTGGGGGCTGGAGCCCACGAGCTCCAGATCTTGCACTGATGAGCAACTGAGAGCGTAAGATGCAATTCCAGCTGAGGAGCAGCAGGTATCTAACCCTGTGATCTGATACAGAATAAGGTATTAAATCTTCAAGCCATGTCATAGTTAATAAGACCCAAATCAAAACTGTTTGGAAAATTGCTAATCTTTTCTTCCTTACTTGATCTGAACCGTGTACAATGCAAGTTTCATTTATTTAAACCTAATAATAGATATAGGATTACAACCCACAAGGACTACTGGCAGATTTTTTATACTTTTGCAATTCAATCTCATGAGATAGCCCAACCTCAAAAAAAAAATTAATGTGGCCAATGCATTATTTCTGCAAACAAGCTCATTTTAAGAAGCAAATAGTAGCAACTTCAATATTTCAAACCTGAGTACTGTGAAACACTCAGACTTTCCCAAGCCTCGCAATCATTCTCTAAATAGATAACAAGTAAAAGGAGATATAATTCTGCACAGAGAAAAGTGTGTTGGAGAGTCAAAAATAGGAGCCCATGTCTCAGTATCATCCTTCACACCTTTGAAATCAAAAGGGTTCCAATGAAAAGCAAACAAAAACCAGGGCTCAAAGGTGCTGCAGCAGTGACCTGGCTCTGGAAAAGGATTCAAAGCCTGGAAGCTTCAGTTCCACTGATTCAACACTGGCTAATGAACTTTCTGGCCCAAAAGAGCCACCTGCAGAAAGGGAGTCACTGCTTGGAGCACATCTTGAGAGAACGAGCAAGACCATTATCCCTCCTCCTGCCCCAAAGTCCCATCGATTTAGGGCAGGCACAGTTCAGAGATAACTAAAGAACTCTCTCCAGGGTTTCTACTTTGACCCATTTCAACAAATTTACTGGGGGTGGGAGGGAGGCAGTGGGAGGAGAGGAGACAAGAAAGTCTTATGCTCCTAAGTGTGGGAGTCATTGGAAGCAATCCCCAGAAAACAAACATTAAAAGCTTTCTTTCAGGCAATATCAAAATAAAAAAATCTATAACTAGGAGGGTCAATCCTCTATCCAATGTAACAACAATCACCTTGGAGTGAATTTATGTTCTCAGGTACTTCCAGACCCTGTTAGACTCCCTGTTCATCCTGCCTGTGTCACCCCATGCATGGCTGCCATGGGACCCACCAGAGCAGAGGGATCCTGCTGAAAATATCCCATCCTTCCCTTCCTAATTTCTGCTGCACTGGATCAGCTCCCTGTTCAGGGCCCAGCTGTGCCCACGAGGAGTTGCACCATTACAACAGGAGTGGGAAAACACAGCTGGAGTGAGGGGGCTGTGGAATCCCCCTTCTTGGCACCAGCCTGCAATTAAGTTGACCCCAAATAATTAGGAAACTGCAGGTGAATTTCAAGGTTGTTTTCCTTTATGGCTGACATGTCTTTGCCTACCAGATGCATTCTTTCATAATCACCCAGCAGCAAGTCTGCACCCCAGACCACTTCAGCACAACAAGGTTTTTCCTTTCCATTATACGAAGATTCAAAGTCAGCCCTTCCATGCCTGACACCTGAGAGCTGCTGGGTGGCTGCTCGCAAAGTACAGTCCTAAAAATTACTCACTTAAGGAAACAATTTTGGAAAGAAATGGAACTTTCTTGACTATTTATGAAGTTTCTGTTCCCTCACCCACTTGTAACAGTTACTGGCCACTGCCCTGCCCTGGGCATTTCGCAACCAAAGAAAACACCACACTTCAGGATCCCAATTCCCCCAAAAGCTGCTCCAACAACCATAACCAGTCCTCAATCTCTGCTTCAAACCAGTATTCCCATGGCCCACATGGAAAAAGCTACAAAAACCTGTAATAACCATCTTTTGACATAACTGTATCCCAAACTTTTGTAATTCTCCCATATTTAAATGTTTAATCCTTGCTGCATTTACCAAAAAGCTCCTACAGTAGAGCAAGAAACACATATCACAACTTTAAGACAAACTGATTATTTCCTGGTAGGCTTCCAGACATGGATGCAAAGTCTAAACTGTGCCTTTGAAAGCTTTAAGCATGGGGGCAGAGATCAAAAGGACACCAGGAAGAATTTTTTCATAGAAAAGGTGGTCAAGCATTGGAATGGACTGCCCAGGGAGGTGGTGGAGTCCCCATCCCTGGAAAGGTTCAAGAAACAACTGGATGTGGCACTCAGTGCTCTGGTTTTGTCAAGGCAGAGATCAGTCACAGGCTGGACTTGATGATCTCAGAGGTCTTTTCCAGCCTTAATGATTCTGTGATTTACCATAAACCTCATTATACTTATTACAGGAACCGACACAAACCACAACTTCATGTAGATCAGGAATTTTCTACCAGTAAATGCAGCATTAACCACTTCCCCCAAAATCCTGTTTTTGTGTTCTTAAGGTATTTATCACCAGTTCAATCAGTTCCCCAATCTACTGATAATCTGCTACTGAAAGGAGTTTTCAGAAGTTTCAATTCTGTTTTCATCCTCTCACAGGACTGCATTTGTCAGATCTATCAAAGCTCTCAATGTAGCTTTTCGCAATTTTTAATTTCCTATTAAAGGAAAATTTCCCAGTGCCAGGATGACACCAGAGTAGAAGTGTCTGGCACAACTCTGCACACGCGCAGCCTACTTGTCTTGGGGA